ACATTTCATCCAGACGTGTAAAATGGACATTTTTCTCAGCAGAACATATGATAGGACACATGGAAATTCTTAGCAAATGTGAACTTATTCCTTGTATTTTGACCACAATGGAATAATACTGTGAACTAACAGCAAGAGAAAATATACAATATACACAAACTCATGGAGATTAAATAATACACTATTACATGATAGATCACTGAAGAAATCAAGGAGGAAATGAAAAAAATCCCACATTGAATGAAAATGAACATATATCAAAACTTTTAGGATACAATGAAAGCAATTCTGAGAAAAAGGTTCATAGGTACATTGCCCATATTAAAAATTAAGAGATCCCAAATAACTTAATGATCACCCTTAGGGCAAGAACAAGTTGAACATAAAATCAGTGGATAAAAGAAATAATATCAAGCCATAAATTACTGAAAGAGAAAGAATATAAATATTCAATGAAGCAAAGAGCTATTTATTTGAAGAGATCAACAAAATAGGCAAACCCTAGCCAAACTAACCAAAAGAAAAAGAAAGAAGACCCAAATTAGAAATAAAGAAAACGGAATGGAGACTTTATAACAGATACCAGGGAAATTCAGAAAGTTCTTGGGACACGCTTTAAGTTGGAAAATCTAAAAGTAATGGATGAATTTCTGATGCGTATGATTTTCCCAGATTAAACCCAGGTGGAGTAAAGAATTTAAACAGGGGGGCTGGAGAGATGGCTCAGTGGTTAAGAGTGTTTGCTGTTTATTCTTCCAGAGGACCCAGATTTGGTTCTCACCACCCAAGTCATGTGGCTCACAACTAACTACCTGTAACTCCATCAGGGGATCCAGTGACTTCTTCTGGCCTTTTTGGGCACCTGAACACACATGTACACATACATGTGCACACATGCACACACATGAATAATAAAATGAATTAAAATAACACATCTACATAAGATAGAGGAGGGTCTGGCTCACGCTCTTTTGGGTTTCGGAGAGCATCAGAAGGGAAGAGACTGCATCTTCTGGAGCAGAAAGGCCATGGCAGTTATTTACTCTTACCTGTGAAAGCACTTCCCCAATAAATATCTACTTATCATTTATCTTTGGCCTGGTGGACTCATTTAAACCCCACCTTCATCTGCAATAATTTTGTTGAGATTGGGGGCAGTAATAAAATCTCCCAGTAAAGAAAAAGTCTAGGTCCAGATGGACTCACTGGTAAAGCCTATCAAACATTTATTTATTTATTTATTTATTTATTGACAGGGTCTTACTACATAGCTCTGGCTAGCCTGGAACTTGCTATGTAGCCCAGGCTGGCCCCAAATCTACCATTCTCAGCTTCTACCAGACTTTTAAAGGAGAATTAACACCAATGCTTGAACTATTTATTCCATAAGATAGAAAAGGGGTGCTTCAAGCTCAGATAAAGACACAGCAGCAACCCAATAAAGTCATAAGCCAATATCTTAGATGAGCATACATGTAAAAATATAAATAAAATACTTACAAACTGAATAGAAGAAAACATCAAAGAGATCAATCACTCTGGCCAAGGTAACTTCATTCTAGAGATTCAAGGATGGTTCAATAGATGAGAATGTTGAACATCGTATAAATGGGCTCAAGAACAGAAATCACATGATCATCTTAATAGATACAGAAAAGGCTTTTGACAAAATCCAACATCCTTTTATCATAAAATCCCTGAAGAGGTAACAATAGAAGGGACGTATATCAACATTACAAAAGTATATGTAACAAGCTACATCTGGCATGATACTATATTGGGAACTATCTCAAACATTTCCCCTAAAATCAAGGACAAGGCAAGCATGCCCACTTTCTCTACTTTTATTCGATGTAGTGCTCAAAGTCTTAGAGAAAAAAAACACACACACACAAAAATAAAAGTGATATAAATAAATAATAAAGAAAGAAGCCAAAGTCACTTTATTTTCAGATGACATGATTCTATAAATAGGAGACCCTAAGGTTCTACTAGAAAACTTATAGAGCTGGGCAACTCTTGCAGCAAAGTGGCAGGATGCAACATCAAATACCAAACCCTCAGCCTCTTGTGTACCAGCAATACACATGACGAGAAAGAAATCTGGCAAGCAGTTCTATTCACACCTGCCTTAAAAAGATACCTTGAGATAAACTCAGCCAAAGAAGAGAAAGACCTCTCCAATGAAAGCTTTAAAATTCTGATGAAGAAATCAAAGACAGTTGAAGATGGGTAGACTTCCCAGGCTCGGGGATGGGAAGAATCAACATTGTGAAATGGCTATCTTGAAAATGTTGTTTTTATATGGCCTGGAGAGACGGCTCAGGGGTTAAAAGCACTGCCCATTCTTCCAGAGGTGCTGAGTTCAATTCCCAGCAACCACATGGTGGCTCCCAACCATCTGTAATGTAGTCTGGTGCCCTCTTCTGGGTTGTAGGGATACATGCAGGCAGAACACTGTATATATAATAAATAAATAAATCTTTAAAAAAAAAGCATGTCTAGCTCAAACCTTGAATAAAACTACTACTTCAAAAAAAGTTTTTTACATTTTTTTAGCAGACAATCAGCAGATGTGTGCTCCAAGCTTAGTTATAGACCCTATCTCAAGGGAAGAAGATGGAGTGTGGGTTAAGGTTAGGATTCTAGTCTTTACATGTGTGCACACAGTCATATGCTCACGTGTGCACACATACTACAGACATACATATTAACAAACAAACAAAAAATTAAAAAATATTCATTTCAATCACCATCAAATGATACAACTAATTTATCTATGTCTGTGGTATATTTGTCTATACATGTTCATATATGTGCATGCACATATGTGTGTCTGCATAGCTATGTGTGTACATGTATGTTGTACAGATCAGAGATTGCCGTGCATGTCTTCTCAACTGTTTTTCACCATTTTTTACTTTATTTGTGATGTGTGTGTGTGTGTGTGTGTGTGTGTGTGTGTGGGTGTGTGACTTATTTTTATTTATGTGTATGTGTCTGTATGCCATTTATGTATGGGTGCCAAGGAGGCCAAAAGAAAACGTCTGTTCCTCTGGAGTGACAGGTGGTTGTGAATTGCCTGATATGTGTGCTAGGAACTAAACCCAGGTCCTCTGGAAGAGTAACAAGTGCTCTTAACATGAGCCTTCTCTCTAGCCCCCTCTTTTTGTTTTTTGAAACAAGGTCACATAATCCTCAACTGGCCTCAAACTCCCTGTTTAGCTAAGGCTGGTGTTGACTCCTGTCTCTTGTCTTTTCCTCCTGGTTCTGGGATTATAGATGTGTATCACCATGCCTGGCTTTGAGTTTTATTTTATTTATTTATTTTTAGTTTTTTTTTAAAATACTGAGTCTTATATCTTAGATAGTGACATTATATCTGAACTTGTACAGTAGATGAATGACTTTCTTTTTTTTTGCAGATTTTTAAATTTGAATTAGAAACAGAATTGTTTTACATGGCAATCCCAGTTCCTTTCTCCCTCCCGTCCTCTCCTACGACTCCCCCAACTAAAACCCTACCTATCATTTATCCTTTCTGCTCCCCCTGGATGGTGAGGCCTTCCATAGGGGGTCATCAGGTGTCTATTGTATCCTTTGGGATAGGGTCTAGGCCCACCCCCTTGTGTCTTGGCTCAGGGAGTATCCCTCTATGTAGAATGGGCTCCCAAAGTCCACACCTATGCTAGGGATAAGTACTGAACTACTACAGGTGGTCCCATAGATTTCCGAGGTTTCCTCACTGAAACCCATGTTCCTGGGGTTTGGCTCAGTCCCATGCCGGTATCCCAGCTATCAGTCTGGGCAGAGCAAGAGTTCACTGATGTTCAGGTCAGCTGTTTCTGTGGGTTTCACAAGCCTGGTCTGGACCCCTTTGGTCTTCACTCATCTTTCTCTGCATCTGAATTCCAGTTCAGTTCAGTGATTAGTTGTGGGGGTCTGCTTCTACTTCCACCAGCTGCTGGATGAGGGCTATCACCAGCTGTTGGATGAGAACTATTGGGTGTGCAATAAGTCACTCACCAATCTCATTATCAGGGGAGGGTATTTAAGGTAGCTTCTCCTCTGTTGCTTAGATTGTTACCTGGTGTCATCTTTGTAGATCTCCAGACATTTCCCTAGTGCCTGATTACTCTGTAAACCTAAAATGTCTCCCTCTATTATGGTATCTCTATTCTTGTTATCTTCTATTCTTCGCCTGACTCAACCTTTCTGCTCCCTCAT